AGAGTAAGTAATGGTCAGAAAGAGGACGCAGTGAGAGGAGAAACAGACTGATTTAGGATGATGGAAGGAGCTATTTGTAGGATGACAGTGAGTGTGTGTGTGTCAGAGTGCTTTTTACATCCTACGCTCACACACTAACACCATCATGACCAGGAGGTCCCTGCCTACACACACACACACACACACACACACACACACACAGTGATAGTCCAGTTTCTACAGTCAACGTCTCAGATCTCAGAGCTAACGAACGTCGTTCTGTCTGCTGAACTTCTCTAATAAAGCAGAGTTAGTGGACGTCCAGCCTCACAGCAGGGGGTTCTAATGAGGGATGGAGGCGCTCATCCATACAGCAGCAGCAGCAGCAGCAGCAGCAGCAGCGGTTACTGTAGCTGCTGATGCTGAAGTTTGTCTGAGTGAAATCAAACTCCCATTAGTGGGATTACAGTCTTGGATGAACATCATCAGATTATCCTGAACCTGAGGAGACACACACACACACACACAGATCCATGGAGTCCCTCAGGGACCAGTCTGTGTGTCAGGACTGATCTCAGAACAATGTGGAACTGGATCTTAGTCCTGATCCTGATGGAGTTCTGTGGCAGAGGTTCTGCTGACGTCAGTGTGAGATCGGAGGAAAGTACTTCAACTCCCACCGGTTCACTCAGAGGACTTCGTTGCGCTGAAGGAGAAAAAGAGAATCACTGACAACCCTCTGCTTAGGAGTCGCCGTGAGGAAGTCACGTGACCGAAAAAAAGTAACTCACTGTGAAAATGATTTCCCCTATTATTATTCTTTTCTACTTACAAAGTGCTGAAGAAGAAGAAGTTGAAGAAGAGCAGCTCCACTCTGATGACTCTGATCCCTGAGCAGCGTCTGCACCAACCTCATGAATATGGAACTCTTTTCTATTCAGGAGAAATCAGGTTTCCTCAGGGCTGCTCTGATCAGCCGGGGCACGGTTTTGGTCCAGTATGCGTTTTCCCGTCCTTCACTGTGTCTTCAGCTTCAGCAGCAGCAGCAGCAGCAGCAGCAGAGGAACATCCAGGTTGGCAGGTGTCCATCTGTATCTATTTATGCTAATGTTCAACTTCCTGTCCAAAAAAACAAAAACAAACACCATCCTGGTACTAAACAGCTGAAAGTTAGAAAACTTTAGAAGAACCACAGAGCAGCTAGCAACGCTAACACCAGCTGCTTATTATGACTGTTATGACTATTATGACTATTATGATTATGATTATTTTGATTATTATGATTATTGTGATTGTTATGATTAATCAGTCCATTCAGACCAAATGTGTCATTAGATGTTTCTCAGCCTGTGGACAACGACTGACGACTGTTAAATCTCTGTTCTTCTGACATCAGCACTTTTCACCTACATGTTCATATTTAACCACACACACACACACATTTCTCCACACAGCTGAGTCTGGTCCCAGTGTGAATGCTGAACACAGCGAGAGTCAGAGGTGTGAAAATCTTCTTCTCCTGCTGTCTGTTCTCTCCACTGTCAGGCTGAGCAGCAGAACAAACTGGTTCTCTCCTCTTCTACTGCCGTCAGGTAGAGCTGACCGACCGACTGACTCACTGACCCACTCATTACAGAAGAGATTTTAAACTCTGACTAAACTCCTTCTGATCCGAGGCTCAGAACAACAGACCCAGGTCAGCAGAGTCAGCTGCAGTTCCATATCCTCTCCACAAGGAGTTCCTGTATATTCACAAGAAGTAGAGTCAGCAGAACGACACGTCCAGCCTTGTTCTCCTCAGCTCCAGGTTCCACCTCTCTGCTCCTGCTCAGCTTGGACTGGTCTGAACATCCTCCAGGGTGAGGAGAAGAAGCCGAGCGTTGGAGGAAGTTTTTGACAGAGTGCTTTTGTGCAGGAGGAGGTTGTCGGAGTTATACCCCAAGGTACAGTTCCTCTTCAAAGCTCATGTCGACCTTTTTCTCTCTGCAATTTAGGAAACACGGAGGTGATGTCAGAAGAAGTGATCATGTATAAAAGATCAGCCCTGAGAGAGCAGAGGACAACCAGAGGAAACCCAGCTGAGAACCAGCTGAGAACCAGCTGAGAACCAGCCGAGAACCAGCTGAGAACCAGCTGAGAACCAGCAGGCAGGAACATACAGGAACGTCTGACGTCAGCAGGCAGTCGGCACCACTCAAACCCACACGTTGATACTTCATTTAAACTGAGGTCTGCAGGTACACTGTTACACTGTTGGAGGATTCTGGAGGATGACCTTTGACCCCACGTCACAACCTTTGTCTGGATCCACTGCCTGAAAATGTTCTTTCAGTTTCTTCAGGAAACGACAGATAAATCAGGTCAAAGGTGACACAGAGATACGACGACAGGCTGAAGGTCCTGTTCTAAGAACAGAGTGGAGAACAGAGTGGAGAACA